AGTGAATCTTTATTGGATTTATATTTAATATACATATTTTGAATATTTTATGGGAATAGAATGGAGATATACAAGTAGTAAAATATAATATTAGTATTTTATACATTTCATTATCGAGTTAGTTGTATATGTTGGGCTGTATCCAAGGAGATATGAACCTATTAATATCAAGTTAGGACAATTACTTTAAATATTAATAAAGCAAACACTAACACTGATTATTCACTTCTTTAATAAATTTACATTAGAGGTTAGAAATCAAATAGATAGCATATTGGGAAAATCTTCACCACACATGTATTTGAGGAATGTTCTTGATAATTAGTACTGTATGTATATATTATTGCAAGTACAATTGCAATAAGAATGTTAAACTTCTAATCTTCTGTTCATTCTTGAATTTGAAAGTAAGCTTGGCTACTGATATGAATATAAAACTGCAGCATTACTGGATACTATTAATTATTTCTGGTGTAAACCATGATTATTTATGTCACTGATAATTTAGTTATATATTACGGTTGATATATGATGATTTTATATTTAATTATATTAAACAAATACAAATAAACAAACTTGCTAGTATTTGTTACGTTGACAGTTGTGATAGATAATCAAAATTCAATTCAATACATCAATACGTCATTCAATACGTCATTAATGTGACAGATGTCAAACAAAAGGAGATTATACACGTTATGATTCTATATCTAAGTCTATAGAAAATTTTATATAATTTTCTGTTATTTTATAATAACTGTAGGGGAAATATTGGAATTATTTATATGAGAAATTTCACTTAAATGATATGATAATTATTTAAAGACCTAATTTCTTAGGGATTTAATCATGATGATTTAAACACTAAAACACTTGTTTATCTGAGAAATCCTCTTAGTAAATAGGTTTACTAAGACACTAAAAGGAAGTAGATATAGTATAACTATAGTACGGCTACAATAATTGTATGGGACTTACTGTCCTTTCTATACAAATATATATTTAATCTATGTCTTTTACATTATAATTATACAATATATTGCCTCTACTACTACAACATACACAAATAGGACTTATTGTCCTTCCTATATACCTATATATAATAATTGACCTGGCACTTTATGTGTAATTTATCAGTACTTATGACAACAACCAATTAGGACTTATAGTCCTTTCTATAAAGCTACATAATTATTTAATCTGATTATTTCACAATGTGATTAATCAAACCTCTACAAATATTACAAAAGATCTCTATTACTCTCAACACAATAATAGCTTGTTGGACTTAGTGTCCTCAAACTTATAGAAAACCCAACTGGTTATTTCACGAGACGTTGTTAACTTGTGATTAATCAGTGTCTTTTAAAGGACTTATAGTTCCTTTAGATATATCTCTCTGAATAAATAATTGGTTAATTCACAATGTGGTTAATCAACAATAATATTATATATAATTGACTGGACTTATAGTTCATTCAATAGCACTCATTACTTTTAGTAGCTCTCGACCTATGGGTTGGACTACTCATTCTTAGGCTCCGGCCTAATCAACAGATTTAACTTGAACCTTGAGTATTCTTGGTATTAAGTAAATAATATTAAATTGACAATACTATGTTATGATATAGCAATTATCAACATTATATGGCTTGGCCAATTCCAGGGTGTGGAAGGTATCCCCTATCACACAAATCTTCATCTCTATCGGACTGTCTTCACAGGTGATCTCTAATGTCACATTATAGGGCCGAAGGGTTATGTCCCAACAAAGTAAGTTCTGGTGTCTGGGTGATCTCGCTTCTTGGTCTGATCTCTTGTGGAGCCGAAGGGAAACCCCCATTGAGTAAGCTCGTAACAGGGTGACGCTGGGAAACAGTTTCGTACTGTTAGTGGGTGATCTCTATGTCGCCATATAGGACTGAAAGGGTCATCGCCCATGAGTAAGCTCTCGTGTCGGAGTGATCCTGGGATTTCAGTTCCGATCCTTTTGCCTCTGGCAAACACCAATTTATACTGGAAGCATCGTGGGGCTGGTGGAGCCACTGTAATGTTGAAGTAAATGTATTTATGTTTGGTTTGGAACTGAGAATACTCATTCCCTTATTACCATCAGAGTGCATTAATAAATAGTAATACCCTTCCCTACCTTTTTGGAGGAAGAGTTATAGATAGTTGGAAAGTCTTCCACTGGTCCGGGCGTGTGAGGGGCCCGACCGCTCCCCCATTTTTTTATTATTACAGTTATTCTGTAATTTACTATTAAATTAACATAACTTCCTTGTTACATGAATTATGAGTATAATTCATTAATTATTTTTAATCCTTAAATATTTATCAATCATCTTCATTATTTAACTCCTATCATATACCAATTAAAGAACCTTTTGGTTATTACACACACAACGGGTCCTACATTACTAGACGATCACACATTTATTTATCTGGCCAGATGATCAAGTGTTCTACTAAAGATCTGTTCAATATTATGTGTTTATTGTAAGGTTTTTTAAGATTCATAAGATGTTTAGGGTGTATAAGGTAATATAGGTATGGGCTATATTGAGGGTGTTAGGCCTTTCTTTAGGGTAGATTTTCATTATATTTTCATAGATTTCATTAGGTAAAGCCTTCGTAGGCTTTTCTTAGGCTTTGTAGGTTTTCCATGTGTAGCTTAGTTCAGAGGGTAGTTATTATAAGGGGTGCAAAGGGGGGGACCATCACAATAGTCGGTAGTAGACGTAAATTACGGAGCAAAGCTTTTTACATTTTTTTTGTACCACTGAAATGACAATTAAGCACACGGCCCACCTGATGGTAAACAGTTATCGTAGCTTATGAACGCCTGCAATATCAGGGGCATTACGCGTCTTGCCGAATCTGAAGAAACCTTTTTACTGCTTTTTTTAAGAACTCCATGCTGTAGTGTTTTGGAAAAATATCGACAGGGAATCCAAAATGAAACAAATCGAAGTTTATCAATATATTTTTTTATTTATTTTTTATTAGCTTATATTATATTATATTACACCCTGGAGTTCGTTGCACGTATCTATGTAGCCTAACTTCAGGCTGCAGCTGAAAATCAGTGCTTTGCTTTTAAGCAAAACTGTCACCGAGCTGTAGCCTATTTGAGTCACTGCGACCCACATGGTGAAAACATATTTTCGTATTTTATCTTTTGTTTTGTATTTAAAAAAAAAGTGTAATTAATGTGATTGTATGAACTCAATTGTTAATTTACGTGTGTCATAAATGGCTCAAATAAAGTGTCTATCTATCTATCTATCTATTAAATGCTAGCAGTAACACAATTTCGTTTGAAATATATGAAAAGGGACAACTTAAACTGGGTTAGATAAATTAAATCCATTGCATGTTCCAGCTATCTCAGGTGGTTTTTACAAAAAAATCTCTTGTAAATCCTAAGATTGCAATTTGGAAGGAATAGATAGGAAACTCGTTTTATATTTTTATTGTTCACCGTGGGTACAATTGGCTGTTTCTTATTGAGGTTGTGGAAGCAGAGATAGTTTTTAAATATATCCCTGTTTCAATTAAAAAGATCGGAATTGGTCCGAGAGGTATTGAGCGAAGGAATAATTATTTATTTATTTATTAAAAATTAGAGTATTAACTCAAAAATACACATGAATTATACAAATAAACTATCAAAGAGGGTTGACGTCAGGCAGGTGGCCGGTCGTAAAACTAAAAACCAAATCTTTTTGTAATATGGATAAAATCATATTACGCCGACCCCAAATGATTGGGATAAGGGTAGGAAGATGATGATGATAGAAAGAAACTATCAAGATGAAGAAAAGCTATGCATCTTGTTAACCATCAGACAGGCCATATGCTTGTTTATCACCATAGTAGTATAAAAAAAAATTGTACTAACAATCTTTCGACTTCGACGATTATTAGCCGACTATTATCAGGTAGCATTCTACATATATAAGGGCTTGTTTCAATTTTTTCTTACCTATCTTGATTTTGTTTATTAACGTAGATAATTTTTTTTTATACAACTTAGAATGGCAAACAAGCTGACGGCCCACCTGATGGAAAGTGGTAACCGTCGCCTATACACATGAGCAGTAGCATGGACATAACAGAGTATGCTGTGTCGCTCATGATACCCCTATGCGTTGCCATTCCTGAAGACTCAGGTGTTATTCCTCTGTACCCTGTAAATTCACGCCGTATCCCACCCTTCAAACCGAAACACATACAAACACAACTGCTTCACGGTTGAAACACGAATGGGACAGAGGTACCCAAGCAATCGACTTTTGTACAAAGTCTCCCTCTGGTGATAATAATTTATAGATATGGCATTTATATCTTACTATAGAATTCTAATAATCCAAGGTAATATAGTATATTTATAACAATGATCAATCGTTGATTTACCTTCAACTTGAGACACAGCTCGGTACTTGCAAATGACACGGAAGCGATTACTATCTACACAAATGACATAATATTACAAAGTATCTATTTGTTGTTATTCTACACTACAGATTAAAAATGGTAGACATACACCACCGTTATACCATATATCGATTAATCAATATCTACACTAATATTATAAAGGGCGAAAGATTTGTATTTTTGTGTGTGTGTATGTATGTTTGTAATGAATAAACTCAAAAACTACTTTGCCGATTTCAAAAATTCTTTCACCATTACAGAGTTACATTCACCCTGAGTAACATAGGCTGAGTAATATATTTATTGCTAGGAAACATTAAGGATCCTTATTAAAACTTTAGTAACGTAACTCAAGATGTAAAAATTTTTTTTTTATAAAATATCAGGCGGTAGTACAAAATTATGTTCTACAATATTGAAGAAAATATCAATGACTACAAAAAACTTCGCGACACTATATGTCCAACTATTATCGTTATGTCACAATAACCACTTTTTAAAATGTCGTAAATATGTCCACCCGTGCGAAGCCGGGACGGGCCACTAGTATATAATAAAATTGTAACTGGTCGCTATCTGTACATGGAAGATATGAAAAAAAAACTATATTTTTTTATATTAGGCTTTATGAACGCAATAGGACCCAAAACAATGATTTTTAGAAATTTGTCTGTTTGTCTGTAATCTCAGAAACGGCTTAACCGATTTGAATGCGGTTTTCACTCATGCGTTGCGGTTTGCTCCGCTTAACATTTAGTGTTTGTTTAATTCCAATCGGTTCATAAATAAAAAAAATTATATCAATATAAAGAATCACATATAAAATGCTATAAAATAACCGATCAGTTGAATTGGCTTAAATTTTATGAAGATAGGTTATATGAGAACATCATATTTTAACTTATAGTATATTTTATATACTGATTCAAGCGGGCAGCGCCGCGGGAAACAGCTAGTGACAGAATATACTGTTATTCCTACAGCAGCATCTACACCTGGTATTGTAGGTGTTCATAGGCTACAGTAACCACTTACCATCAGGTGGGCCGTATGCTTATTTGCCACCTCAGTAGTATAAAAAAATTCTCACTTCATCTCAAAAATCTCTTAGGGGATAACCGAAGATATTTTTTAAGTAGTTACGGCTGTTCACAATAGTGGTCATGTAAAAATACTGGTTTAAACTAGTTAGTAAACTAACTCTGAAATATATGATCTTCCTTACGAGTACATAATTTAGATTGAAAGAAATAAAGTGCCTTTAATTTGAAAAGCCTGATAATAAAACAATATTGTACATTTTCTTCTTTTATGTAAAAAACAAATGTCTTAAAAATAATTAGGACTATTGAATGGATTTTTTAAACAATAAATAACTTAAGGTAGTTAAATAATATAATTATTTATTTATTTACATCAAACTAGTAAAAAATATTGCTTCATGCTCATTTATTATTTATTGTTTGCATTTTATCTTTATTGCAATATTTATTCTAGTACCTATACTCTCCTAGGTAAGTATATTGGGAAATTGTAAAGCACACTTAGTTGATTAAATAAATAATTAAATAATTCATTAAATGACAAATATAAATAAATAAATTAGAAATTTGATAGGATGCAATGACTATTATAAATTTATGCATTTACATTGCTTACTTGTATTGCTTATGTTTCTTTAGGACCGTCCCATTCTTCATCGGGAGATATTTTTAAAAGTTCCTTAGATTTTTCCCATAATTTTCGGTTCAACGCTTGATCTCTTGCATACCACTCAGTACCGAATTCAGAACAAGATCTAAAATTTTTACCACTATAATTTTTTACGTTTGGATCTAATGCTAAATAGACAGGAGCTTTTGCAGCTTCCGAGATCGTTTGGCCAAATATATGCAAAAGGGAGTTCAGGAACTTTTTTAATATTACATTATCTAGGTATCTGAAGAAGTCCGTTTTTATCAAACCTGGGTCTAAACTGTAAACACTCACTCCACTTCCTTCTGTTCTTTTGCTCATTTCTACAGCAAAAAGGATATTAGCTAATTTCGCGTTTGAGTACAGTCCAAAATTTGAATATACATTCACATTGTTCATATAATCTGGATTTACGTGTCCTAATATTGAAGCTAGAGATGATACATTGATTACTCTACTGGGAGCTGATAATTTTAGAAGAGGAAATAAAAGATAAGTTAATAAGAATGCACCAAAATAGTTCACTTGCATCATCGCGTTAAGATTGTCCGGTGTTAATTTATCTTCTACGCCTATAGCTCCAACATTGTTGATTAATATGTCCAATTTTGGCTCCATTGCAATGGTTTCTGTTGCCAAATCTCGTACTGATGTTAAATTACCATAATCCACCAGCCTGCCGACTACATTGCTGTTTCGAGAAAATTTGCTGATCACTTCAATTGCGTTGTCCAATTTATCTTTTCTTCGACCTGTTATTATTACTTTGGTACCACGGCTAGCTAAATATTTGGCCGCTTCGAGGCCCAGTCCTGATGTACCGCCAGTAATCATGGCCACTTTCCCATCCGACTGGACGTTAGTTTCACATTTGTTGAACACATTTAATAACGACATTGTAACCAATCAGAACTGATGTCTGTAAGCGCTGTTGACTTTTGCCGATTGAAGAAAATTTCAAATATCAGCCTATTTAAGGTAATATCAATGTACACTCTATAAGGGTTATTCCCTTCTAATTGGGACCACTGTTACTAAACTATGATTAATTAAATAAAATAATCTTACACTTTTCTTTTTTTATTATTTACGGTACACAAAATTTTGCGTTACAATAAAGTGAGCTCATTGCTTTTAGTAATAAGGTAAGTTAATTTATGCACATTAGTTTTAAGGTATCTACAAAAAGTCTAGTCGTTTTTCGGTGCATTCACAATAGATGTCGCTCCGATTTTGTGAAGCAATATATACTTTTTAATTACCTATGTGTAATAAATGTAGATTATTGTATTGTGGTTTCAATTTTATGGAGAATAATCCAAGAGCGTCATCCGTTCATGTACTCGTCTGACCGGTTTCTAGTTCCGCGTTTTTCCCATGCAGCGAACTGAATACCAATCTTATACATTAATAAATAAAAATAAGGTGTTATAAAAAAATTAATACAATAGTTTACATGCGACTTTTTTTATAGTATGATCCTGAGCGAATACAGAAGCAACATGGTCCATAAATACAATCAGCCGTAAAGAGGGTTCGATGGTTGGTGGTGGAAGAGCTTTCGACGGTTGACCGCACTATGCTGGCTTAGTAAGTGCTTTTTTATGTTACATCTGAAGGATTCGAAATTATAGATCAAAGGAAACACGTCAGGGGAAAGCTATATTGTTATAGTACGGTTCACGTAAGAGTTGGTAAATTTATTTGTATTTCGTCCCGCAAGATATGGTCTCTAACCGGTAGAAACACAAAAGTATATCCAGTAGAAAAGAATGAGGGAAAATCTTCATGTGCAATAATACGAACTAGTCTCCGTGACCTTGAACTGGTTTCCGTGACCTGGATATTTCGGTACAGAACATATGTTCTTTGATCGGGATAAAAAAAAAAACTTATGTCCTTTTCCAAACCTGTATAGAACGTGCAAAACCAAGTTCATAATTGACTAAACCGTTAAGGCGCTAAGAAGTAACAAGGAAGTAACCTCACTTTCACATTTATAATATTGGTAAGGCATTATATGGATATTGCTAGATGTGTTTTCTAAGAATTTATAATAATAACCAATATATAATGATGATATTGATTTCTGCAAAATAACACCTAATTCTACAAAATTTTGTTAGATTTTTTTAGATAGTAAATATATAAATGCACTTATGGTTTACTTTCCCAATCTTCTTCAGGCGTAATTTTCACCAGTGTTTTTGATTTGTCCCACAATCTTTTTCGGAGTTCTTTATCAAATACAAACCAAGGAAGGAGTGATATATGACAAAATTTATAATTTTTTCCACTCACATCCTGCACTTGCGGACTGGTTGCCAAATATGCTATTTCAATACCTGCTTCTTCTCTAGTTCTACCTACAATACTGATGATGAAGCGTGACAGACCTGCCAGAACACCATCCATATTTCCAAAGATGTCTGTATCTCGAACGACAAAAGGGTCAAATCCGTTCACAGTAACTCCTGTTTCTCTGATACGTTCATCTAATTCGACCATGAGTAATGCATCGGCCAACTTAGAATTCGCTAACGATGTCACTATGTCGTATTTCCCGACGTCATTCCAGTGATCGAAATCAATCGCTCCAACATACATTGCGGAAGCGGTTCCAATAATAATTCTGCTTGATGCTGACATCTTCAACATAGGCAGCAGTAAGTACGTAAGTAGAAATGCCCCAAAGTAATTCACTTGCATTGTAAGATTTAAGCCATCTTCTGTCAATCGATCAGGCAAGCCTACAGCGCCGGCATTGTTTATTAGTACATCGATTCTTTCTTCTAAATATAATGTTTCGTTGGCAAATTTTCTCACTGATTTCAACGACGATAAGTCCAAAACTCTGTAATCTACGTTATTATTACTTGTAGCTTCGACGATACGTTTCTTTGCTTCTTTCATTTTAGTTTCATTTCTACTTGCAATGATGACTCTCGCACCGTGTCCAGCTAAGACTTTGGCTGCCTCGTAGCCAATTCCTCCACTCCCTCCAGTCACAATTACCACTTTCCCATCCAATCGCGCATTAGTATGACAATACATTTTGTATTTATTCAATACAAAACAACATCTTGAAATCAAGTCTGAGGAGACACTAAGGAAAAACAAAGACTTGTACAACGAGTAGGTTGATATTGTTTTTATTATAAGTAAAAAAGGTTTTGTTTATACTATTGATACTCGTGTAATTGACGCTTTAATGTTCAATAGCGTACATGTGGATAGAAGGAAAAATGTCCAAGATTTATTGATTGACCTGAATAAAACTAGAATATTTCGTTCTCCAACCCAAGTAATACGTATTTGGCTATGGAGAGGGCTATACTCGAAATTTCTTTGAGTGACAGAATTTGAAATGAGGATACCCGCAAAAGAACCAAAGTTAACGACATAGCCCGAAGGATAAACAAGATGAAGTGCTAATGGACTGACACAACTTGACGAACTGACAATCAAGAAGAACCATCCAATGAAGAGGAAGAAAGTTCTTGAGTGGCGACTCCGTGCAGGTAAATGCAGTGTAGAATGAACCCTTACTAGATGGAGTGACGACCTCAAATGCATTGCAGGAAGTCAATGGATGCAAGTGGTTCAGGACTGTTCTTAGGCAGGCAGGGCAAATAGTCCACCGTAATGAATACACGTGGAATTCAGCAAGATGGTTTCCTGGAGGGGCCACGTCGAGGTCGACCTACTATGGCATATTGCTAGCAATAGGACTGGTAGTGTGCATTACTAACAATCCCTTCCCCCCAAACCTGATGTTTATCCTATTGTATACGTATCCGATATATTAATTGAGTAAGTCGCTTTCTTTTTAATTATTGCTCTTGTTTTCTGCAAGTAGGGCTTTATTTCTTACTTCCATGATGGCGGCATATTATTGTTTCAAAATTGAAATTGATTTTTATTTTGAATGAATTTCTATTTCTTCTTACAGGTAAATGTCTCTAACCTTTTAAGTGTTCCAAATGTTAAGAAACCGTTTAATATAAATTCCATATAAAACTGTATCAAAAAAGAAAATGAGAACTCGTGGTAACTTGTGGCAGTTTTATTAATACATTTTACTTGCATGACGCTGTGCGTGTGTTGCATTGTAAAAGTCGATTGTGTGATTCACTTTGCAGTTCAGTTAAAGAGGCTACATACATAGATGGTTTATTTATCCACAGACATAAATGGAGAGCGGGCAGACCAGCAGGCCTACCATGAAATATTTTTTGAAATTTCGGAAAATATTTCATGTTAAAATTAAACATAAATTTGATGTTAAAATTACATAATACATGCCATTTAAAATTATTAAAAATATTGAAACATCGTTCCTCTGGACTATTAGGATAGGATTTATGATGAACGAAATGTTAAGCTCCATTTACTGTGTCGATTTTAGTATGAACAAAAACACGAAATTGAGCCCGAAAATTCGGAATTTCGTTTCATGGTAGACCACCAGTAGGACTGTAACTTTAGCATGGACAAACATTTCAAGTTGATTACATTTACAATTTTAATGAGTCATCATTTTAAACACCATCATTCTTTATTCGTATTTTTTTTTATACAACTTAGAAAGGCAAACAAGCTGACGGCCCACCTGATGGAAAGTGGTAACCGTCGCCTATAGACATGGGCAGTACCATGAACACAACAGAGTATACTGTTTCGCTCATGATACCCCCCATGCGTTGCCATTCCTGAGGACTCAGGTGTTATTCCTCTGTGCCCTGTAAATTTACGCCATATCCCACCCTTCAAACCGAAACACAGCCATGCAAACACAACTGCTTTACGGCAGAAATATGAATGGGACAGAGGTACCCAAGCAAACGACTTTTGTACAAACTCTTCCTCTATTTATCCTATTACTGCTGCTTAATAGCCCTACTCCCTTCTTCGGTCTTCCATCGTGTTAGATTATTCGCTTTTCGAGAATTTATCGCTGGTTTGGAATATTTTTATCTGTTGAAAACTGCTCGCAAGAAACCCAACAGTTACTCGTTTAAATCTCTGTTAACATTATGTATATTTATGTATGTAAAAATAAATTTATAAAAATATTGTAGGCTTTGCTCAATTAGTTTTTTTTTTTAATAACAGTTTTAAATTTATTAAAAGATAGATCCAAAATGTTCTCCGGTATTTTATAACATTTAATGCACATTCCCATAAAAGATCTGTTAACTTTTTCTAAAGGACACTTTACTAAGCTGTTAGCCGGCATAGAATGGGCCACCCCTTCCTTTCCCATAAGTTTTGTAAAAAGCGACTAAGGGAACTTAATGATCTAGGGATGTGTGTGTAAGTAGCGTCCTTCTTAAAACAGCATCAAAGTTTTACTGCGGTCGCGAACTCGCTTGCCAAGCGTGGTAACTATGGGCAAAACCATAAGGAACCCCTTATGGTTTTGCCTATTGTTTTTGCCTATGGGGGAGGCCTATGCTTAGTAGTGGACATTTAACACCTGATATCATGATCTACATCATTCTAAAATGCTGTAAAGCTTCAGCTGCCCGCTAACGACATGCTTTCTCATTGTATTGGGTTGACTGGAAGAGATCTCTGTCAGAGATAAGTCCACCCTTGCTCACAGCATTTATAAATGCATTTATTTTATATGTAATTTACAAGTGCAATAAAGAATATATATATATATATATATATATATATATATATATATATATATATATATATATATATATATATATATATATATATATATATATATATAACGTATTAAAACTTGATTTAAATAGTTTAACGTATTATAATTGTCTACAAACATAAATGTTATTTTGAAATGATATGTACCTACATACAACAAAGTTACGATAAAAACATAATAACCTTAAATCGTTATAAATTTCCTGTTACTGTTAAATTTCATCAATAAATTTTAAATAATAACGATCTAAGAGCGTATTACGTTTGTATTAATAGGGTTCTGTACATATAAGGTTATTATTTACAAATTAATCATTTTATACATATATGTTTATTTATATTGTTTAATGTATGTTCACCATCAATGCCCTTGAACGCTTTATGTTTACCTTTACCTAATGGTAAGTATTTAGTTGGTAGAGAATGGCATACGGTATTAAGCTTGTTTTATATATTTTTTTTTTGCTGGGTGAAAATGGAATAGTGACCCCGCCTGCGCTAACGGGATACGCTGGCGGAGCACCAGTGAAGGGTGATAGATGAGAATGAAAACAGGCCAGTTAGCCCATCATGATGAATTCATTAGGAATTAACCATGATAGTTTCCAGGAGAACCGCGAGGAGGTCGACCTGGCTGGGTATATTGCTAGCAATGGGATTCTTAGTATCCATTACTAACAATCCCTTTCCAACAGGGGGGCTGTTCTATATATTATGTTTAAGGTAAAACACCGTAGTGGAAGCGTTTTATAAGGGAAAGATTCTGTCTGTCGAGGAGGACTCACCTGGCATTGGCTTCGTGAGTTTTTCTGCTGTAGGTGATCGGCAGTTCTTCCTCAACTCCTATATGCACGCACACACAAATTCTTACAGGTTCTTCAGGGCACATACAGTTTAAAATATACAAATTACATTTATTTTAAAAGAGTAAGTGTCCGCGCACACGTCTCCATTTTGTCAGTACCTTTTTTTTTTAAACTAAGGTGGGAGAAAAATAATAATGACGGACTCCAATATTGTAAACAATCTGTGTTTTATTACAAAGGGATTACATAGGAGAATATGACGGAAGAAGAATACAGGAAAACTAAATGGAGTGGTAGTTAGGAGGACAGAGGTTTCAAAACCTCTAGTAACCTATTGCTAGCTAATGAGGGTTTGAGCGCACCGAATAAAGGCAGGTAGTGAGTTCCATAGGCGAACTGCCTGAACAGTGAAGGATTTAGAATAAAAGGAAGAAGAATGAGTTTATAGTTTTTTTTTATTAGATCAAGGTTGCTGCCGCGTTAGTCCCATATAAATTTTGCTATGGTTTTTTTATAAACATTGACAACAATTACAATTACAAAGTACAATTGTCTACGGAACCCTAAAACCAGATTAATGAGAATGATAAAAATCTGCACCTATTATGTGATCAGTAGTTTTCTGTTTACAGTCAGAAAAACTTAATATTAGATATTTTATGTAATTTTTTTTTTTTACGAGAATATGACGAATTTCTTTATTTATTTAAGTTTCATTAATATTTTTTCTTTTGGCTGTTATTATTGTGTAAGTATAGTTTTTATATAACTTGATATGGCAAACCATCTGATAGCAAATGTGATGGAAAGTGGTAACTGTCGCCTATCGACTACACCATGGGCATCATAGAACGCACTGTGACGACCGCAGTAGGGTAATACGTTAATGCATTGACATTTCTGAGGAATAAGTTGTTACACTTCTGTATTTTATTTTTATTTATTTAAAACATTAATGCATAGTGTGATTATATGTACACTTAGCAGACTTAACTTCGTATCATGTTATTTTATTCCAATAATCGAAACATAGTTAATATAAATGCATATAAATAATTTAAAATTAATAAAAAAATTGTTTAGAAAAAAAAAATGTGTATTGATTCTGGAAGAGATCTCTGTCAGAGATAAGTCCATCCTTGCTCACAACATTTATAAATGCATTATATTATATGTACTTACAAGTGCAATAAAGTATATATATATATATATATATATATATATATATATATATATATATATATCTGAGAGTGGTAAACAAGCTAACAGCCCACCTGATGGGAAGTGGTAACCGTCGACATATAGACATGAGCAGTACCATGGACATAACAAAGTATACTGTTTCGTCCATGATACCCCCCATACGTTGACATTCCTGAGTACTCAGGTGTTATTCCTCTGTACCCTATAAATTCACTGCCATATCCTACCCTTCAAACAGAAATACAGCCATGCAAACACAACTGCTTCACGGTAGAAACACGAATGAGACAGAAGTGCCATGCAAACGACTTTTGTACAATGTCTCCCTCTGGTAAATATTATACGCTAAGAAATAAGACCCTCTATATTACACCAATTAAATGTTACAGGTCCAAGTGAAGCACGAACGTGCGTTAATCCAATATTACAACAAGAAGTACGTAAGCCACGCTCAAGCCTTCACCGGCCGGGCCAAACGCCGGGAGCCATATAGAACTAATATTACAATCACTACGTTGCACACATGGCAAAACAATGTCACGGTACGTACTAAGCCATGTGGTCCCGGCATAGAATAGGCCACCCTTCCCTATCCCGTGAGTGTCGTAAGAAAAAAAAAAATGTTTATCTGGGAACCGTAGCTTAACCCTTCTTTGCATAGTGGTGGAAATTTCCATCATAACATTGAATGCCCAAAAATTATATAAAAGAACAAGTTCACTTTAAGTTGATCGTGTCTGGATACCTTTTCAATGTCCATTGCAAAAAAAAAAAAACAAAACATAGCTGTCAAATTTATTTTATAACCATTTTTCCTTTAATTTTGATCTTGAATTATATCACCTTGGTTTATTTCACCAATAAAAAATCATGCAAACAAGGGTTAATTTACAGTTTTTATTTTAGAATCGAGTTGAAGGTGCGACTAAGGAAGCGTAAGGGATAGACGGCAGCATCCCACTTAAAACATCACTAAGGCCTGATTGCGATTGCTAACCCACCTGCCAAGCGTGGCAATTACTGGTAAAACTCCCCTTATGAGGAAGGTTTATATCCAGTAGCGGACAGTTAACGGTTGAAATAATGATAAAAAAACAATCCCCTATCCGGAAGGTTTTGCCAGGAGACGCCACACTTGGCAGGCGGGTTGGCAATCGCAGTTAGGCGTTTTTTTTATACAACTTAGAATGGCAAACAAGCTGACGGCCCACCTGATGGAAAGTGGTAACTGACTGTTATTCCTCCGTGCCCAGTAAATTCACGCCATATCCCACTTCAAACCGAAACACAGCCATGCAAACACAACTGCTTTACGGTTGAAACACGAATGGGACAGATCGCAATCGACTTTTGTACAAAGTCTCCCTCTGGCTAAAAGTTTGGTGAGATGTTTTAAAATGGGCGCTGATGCCCATCCTTCGACCATTCAACTTATTGCATTTAGAAATACAGTAATAGGTTATTAAAAATTACGAGACACAGTGAGCAAGTGAATATAAAATGGTAGATAATATAAAACTATAAGCAATATAAGTAGCCTATTGTTATTATATTTAGCCTTTAACTGTTCACTGCTGGATATAGGTCTCCCCCATACAGGTGGAAATGGGGGGGGGGGGGGGAGGTTGCCAATAGTTGTCATGCTTGACAGGATTTGGTGATGTTTTAAGAGGGACGCTGCTGCATTCTTCAACCAATAAATTTCTTACTTGCCTTTTATGGCACCCATGGCATAGACGATATAGATCCCACGGCAATAACTGGTCTGTACTTCAAATTTTTTATATGAATACGTGATACAATCCTGTTTCAGATAAAATTGATATACAAGGACAAACAGTCGGCTAGTGATTTTTATATATCGGTAAAATTATGTGATGCAGCGAAGTTCGCTTGGATAATTGACTATGTAAGCACTTATGCGGACTTCAAAGTAGCCTGTCCCTTCCCTCCGGTGAGTATACTGGTGAAATTTAAATCATTTCTTTATTAAATAGGTAATTTTTTATTTATGGGTGAAAATGGTATGGTAACCCCACCTGCGCTAACGGGATACGCTGGCGGAGCACCAGTGAAGGGTGATAGATGAGAATGAAAACAGGCCAGTTAGCCCATCATGATGAATTCATCAGGAATTAACCATGATAGTTTCCAGAGGGAACCGCGAGGAGATCGACCTGGCTGGGTATATTGCTAGCAACGGGATTCTCAGTCTCCATTACTAACAATCCCTTACCCCCTAAGTAATGATGATATCAATTTTTAACTGTCCACTGCTGAACATAGCTTTCCCCATAAGGAGGGTTTTACTAGTAGTTGCCACACTTGGTAGGCGAGTTGGCAAGCGCAGTTAGGTTTTAGTAATATTTTAAGATCGACGCTGCTACCTATCTCTCGACCATCAAGTTCCTTGAGTCGCCTCTTACGACACCCACAAGAAAGAGAAGTTGAAATGTATTTATTTATTTTATATATCAATTAAGCTAACTTTATGGACACTCGTTATTATACATGGTTCCTTTCATACATGCACTTACATTACTTGCATACACCCACTCTAACTTGTCTGCCTCGCTTTGGAATCAAAATTTTCGTTTGTATAAATAAAATCCGTTATTGGCTGTATTCATAAGAGACTTAGCATGTACGTTGTGTTTTTAAGAGCTGCGGATTTTTGTATAAAATAAAATAAAAAAAATATTTTATTTAATTGTTTATTGTACACACCAGTTATTTATAAAATGTGACAGAGGTAATCAAATGTACAAAGGCGGAGCTTAACTGTATTGGAGTTCTCTTCCAGTAGACCCAAAGTGGAAAGGAGCATCAATGTCAGCGGGTAGAGCGGTGTACAATATTGTGACAATTTTTAAACAGACAAAATTAAATTAATTACATTATATTTAATCGTATAAATACACATATACATATACCTACATCTATGCATATACCTATACATACACACACACACACACACACACACACATACATATAATATACCTACACATACAGATAAATAAATGTTCATATAGAGATTTATTTATTCTTTATTGCACAATAACGCACGTTTGTAAACAAACGTGTCATAATTTATCCAAACCTGATTTTGTCTTATTTATATGGGTTGTTGAGTACAAAGTCTCAGTTTAGAGGTATTTTTTTTTAAATAGGTGATAATGAAATGGTAACCCCACCTGCACTATCGATATACGCTGGCGGGGTACCAGTAATGGATGATAGGTGACGATGAAGGCAGGTTAGTTAGCCTATCATGATGAATTCCACTAGATTTAACCACGATGGTTTCCAGGTCAACCTGATAGGGTGTATCATCATCATCATCAAAATAATAAAATATACAATGGTGAACTTATCCCATAAAGGGATCTCTTATAATCAACTTTTAAGAAGCTGAAAGAAAACTGTAGAATGTACAAGGGTAATAACCGTACAGCTAAAAACAAACTAAATAATACCCAGTAAAAAATTAAATATATATTAGGTGTATTGGTAGCAATGGGTCACTTAGACCCCATTACTAACAATTCCCCCCCCCCCCCCCCCCGCCACAGTTATAAGAGGTTAGCATTGAAAAATCTAAGAAATCAAATAGCAGTTAACGAGGTTTAAAAATTCCTAGTAGCAGAGGTCTGTCAATGTAAAAGAGTTGGCACCTCATTATAATTATCAATAGCACAGGTTTCTCATATAGACATGAGCAGTACCATAGACATAACAGTACACTGTTTCGCACATGATACCCCCCATGCGTTGCCATTCCTGAGGGCTCATGTGTAATTCTTCTGTACCCTGTAAATTCACGCCATATCCCACCCTTCAAACCGAAACACGGCCATGCAAACATAACTACTTCACGGTAAAAACACGAATGAAACAGAGGTGTCCAAGCAAACGACTTTTGTACAAAGTCTCTCTCTGCTAAAAATTAATTGGGTATAATTTAAAAATGTGTTCCACGAAAAAAATGTAATGCTAAACTACTGAACTGAATTTGATAACATTTCTATGATATCAATCCGAAAGTATATCCTTTCAGATAAAATAATTAACACAATCGGTCTATTTAACCCTTCTTTGCATAATTTTTTTATTGTTAAAATCAAAGTCATATAATCAAAGTCATATAATTCTTGTTTAAAATTAAAGGAAAAATGGTTAAAACAATAAATTTTACAGTTATGTTTTTTTTTGTAATGGACATTAAAAAATTATCCAGACACAATTAACTTAAAGTGAACTTCGTCTTTTATATTAGTTTTAGGCATTCAATGTTATGATGGAAATTTCCATTACAATACTGGCACATAATCATTAAATTCTGAACGCAACTGTCATGTGACAGTTGCTAAGTGTCAACACCGGTCAGATTCTATATTTTAATTACTACTCTATGTTTGTTTGGTTTTTGTTGCTGTACAGTCGAGCAGCTATATGCCGACTAATTCTTTAAAGCCGTGTATTTTTATAAATGAAATAAAAGGTTCCACCAGGAACAATATTTAATTATCTAATCCTTTTATGTGGCTATGCTACAGTATGCAAAAAAGGGATAACAGATAGAGCTATGAGGTAAGAGAAATAAAAAAAAATAACCGACTTGAGAACCTTTCATGAAAGCTATGTCAAATCTATTGTTTTAGTTGTCAACAAACAATCATTTCAAATATGTTTACATTACAGGGGCCATACGGTTTTTATAACGCTGAGTTACCGCCAAAGAATTTTCCAATCCTACTGCTTAGAAGCGAGGGACAGTTGGAGGCTGTTTTCTTTAATACTAACACATTAGAACAATATCTAATAGTGTCATTACATATAGAAATAATTTAAAGCTAACGCAGACCAAGGAAAAGTATAAAGATACGTATGCAAATAACGATGAGTTCCCAAAACAACGTTTGACCTGGCTAGAAGTGACACTCGTGTATTTTTCTTTGCGAGTGTACCCATGCCGACATAATGTACTCCATTGCCCCTCACTCAAATAGGGTTGTCACAAAACAATAATGTAACTCATCCATTTCAGGAACAAATAAAATTATTTAAAAAAAATATCTGTACTTTATTTTTTTTAGAATGGCAAACATGCTGACTGCCCACCTGATGGAAAGTGGTAACCGTCGCCTATAGACATGAGCAGTATCTTGGACATAACAGAGTATACTGTTTCGCTAATGATCCACCCCATACGTTGCCATTCCTAAGGACTCAGGTGTTATTCCTCTGTACTCTGTAAATTATCACCATATCTCACCCTTCAAATGGAAACACAGCCATGCAAACACAACTGTTTCACGGTAGAAACACGAATAAGACAGAGGTGCCCAAGCAAATGACTTTTGTTTGTGGTAATATATATATAAATAAATACGATTTACGGTTACATACATGCATAGTTTTTATTGTTTTCCAGTCACAATAACGAACATTATGAACGTCTTCAGAGTTGAACTGATGGTGAAGTCAAGGTCAAAGATAAAGAACTTCAACTGTTAATGCGTATTTGTATTTTGTATGAGGTCCACTGCTCTCTCAGCCATTGCAATGAGCACAGAATTGGGATACAAGGATATTGGAGATGGTAAAATGCTCGCGTCCATAACACGAACACCCTTTACCGATTTAACTCTGAAATACAAAATATTAATTAAACCTTATTAATATTAATGATTTAAGATTCTGTTAAAAAAATACTGACTTCAATCTGTTAAAACCAGTTGCTGATTTAAAAACTAGTGAAATAATTTTGATATACATATTTCCTATTGGATCCATCTGAAAGTGTATTCCTTTCAGATAATAATTTAAGATTGTTTTTCAGAAATATAAATACTTCAGTTATGGGAAAATAAGTTTCAATTTATATAAAACAATATATATATATATATATATATATACATATATATATATATATATATATAAAAACGCTTCATAAACGACAGAGTTATGAATTAACAAATACAAAAAAAATTACATAGTTCTTTTTGAAGTCAATTGATAATATGCAAACCTCAATTGCTCATCCACCACAGCACCGCCAGCGCACGTGCCGGCCACGTGGTGTCCTGTCACCGCTACCTCCCTGATGATGCACTCCAGGTATTGGTCGGGTGGACTGAGCGTGTTTATCTCTTTAGTTTTTAACTCTCTAGTAGTTAGTGATGCTTGATGATTCGATTTTTCTGATGTGATTTTAAATCTGGAATTTATTACAAACTAGTCAATCTAGCAATTAAAGCCTCCCTACCGCCATCTATCGGATTACTTTTTTCTTATCATTATAAAAACTATCAACCATGTGGAATCATGGACTAGTAAGAGGGAAAGGGATTGTTAGTAATGAGACTTTATAGCTCCATTGCTAGCAATATACCCTAATAGGTCGACCTCCTCGCGATTCTCCCTGGAAACTATAATGGTTAATTCCTGATAAATTCATCATGATGGGCTAACTGGCTTGTTTTCATTCTCATCTATCACCCTTCACTGGTGTTCCGCCAGCGTATCACGTTAGCGCAGGGGGGGGGGGTTACCATACCTCTATCCCCTACTATCAGCCCACTGGAAACAACCGTGGTAAATTTTTATAAATTATCATCTGTAACTGATGCCCCGCCAACGTATATTGTTATCGCAGGCGGGGCTACCATTCCATAAAAACATGGGCTAGTAAATATGGCAAAACTGGGGGAAGAGATTAATGGTAATGGGGAGGTTAGTTCCCATTATTATCAATATACCCTATCAGGTCGACTTCCACGCAGTTCCCCCTGGAAACTATCGTGACTAATTTATCGTTGAATTCATCACGATGAACTGACCTGCCTTTTCATCCTCACCTATCACCTCTCACTGGTTGCCCGCCGGCGTATACCGATAGCGCAGGCGGGGTTACCATCCCATTATCACCCATTAAAAAAAAGGATGATAGGTGAGGATGAAAGCAGGTCAGTTAATCCATCGTGACGAATTCCACTAGAATTAACTACAATGGTTTCCAGGGGGAACCGCGTGGAGGTCGACCTAATAGGCTGTATTGCTGGCAATGGGTCAATTAGACTCTATTACTGACAATCCCTTTCCCTTCCCTCCCTCCCAATGTCATGGGGTTTTTTTTATACAACTTAGAATGGCAAACAAGCTTACGGCCCACCTGATGGAAAATTGTAACCGTCGCCTATAGACATGAGCAGTACCATGGACATAACAGATTATACTGTTTCGCCCATGATACCCTCCATGTGTTGCCATTCCTGAGGACTCAGGTGTTATTCCTCTGTACCCAGTAAATTCACGCCTTATCCCACCCTTCGAACCGAAACACAGCCATGCAAACACAACTGCTTCACGGTTGAAACACGAATGGGACAGAGGTACCCAAGCAATCGACTTATGTACAAAGTCTCCCTCTGGTAAATAATAATAGATATAATTTTATTAGACAACGTCCAGTTATTGACTACTTCCGTCTCTTTCTGCTATGTGGATTTGAAATCTACCTTCTCTTTCGTCTTAGTATACTGCCTAGTTGGTCTTGTTTACTGTAGTTCCAGAATGTAAGACACCGTTCGACTCGTGGCCAATGGACTCTTGCCTCTATTTCCTTAAACGCTTTTGTGGATACCATTTGTTCAATACGACGCATCGCTGCAAAGTTAACTTATTTATGACACGTTTGAAATTATGTGTTTAAATAAGAAATAAAAATTATTAATAATAGAAAAAAAAAAACCTGAAAAAAGATAAGTCTTGACACATAATTGGTTTTAATTTTATGACGTTAATATATATTGTTTTTTTTTTTTTAATGGATGATAATGGAACGGTAACCCCACCCGCGCTATCGATATACACTGGCGAGGCACCAGTGAAGGATGATAGGTGAGGATGAAACAGGTCAGTTAGCCCATCGTGACGAATTCAACAAGAATTGTTCACGATGGTTTCCAGGGGGAACCACGTGTAGGTCGACTTAATAAGGCACATTGCTAGCAATGGGGCTGTCAAACTCCATTGCTAACAATCCCTTTCCCCCCAATATATATTTATTGAGTGTATAATCACCAAATATTTTGGGAAACTAACCGGCTGGTGGAAACCTCTGGTGACCAGAAAGCTGGCCTATACTTTGGTCAACGCATTTCCATTGCTGTTCAGCGTGGAAATGCAGCAAGTATCCTAGGTACCCTACCAGCTGGCATCTCAAATAATTTTTTTATCTTTAAATATTTTTTAAGTACTTGTTCTTGATATTTACAGCAGGTAGATGTTAGGAATTTATAAATTAATTTATACCATATTCGGGACTTTACTCGTAACCTATGGGAAATTATAGTACATTATTGCAGCGGCCAGCAACTGAGGCATTGATGGACGAACGTGCAAATGTGGGCCGAAGCGTAGCCGAGGCACACATACGTGAGTCCATCAATGCCTAGTTGTGGCCAAGGCTTGTATAGTACTTTTCTCCAACAATGCGTGGAAATCAACAACACAATTTTGCTTTTTAAGTTCAATGACGAATAACGAACAATAATATTTTTTCACGCGCCATAATGTTTTTCTTTTCAATAAACAGCTTTCTATTTGCAAGCCAGTTCGAAATTTAAATAAAACCTTGTATTACGAGTAGTTACCTCCTTGGTAGCCATGTTTCGAAATAAAAGGTCATTCCATTTTTAAATTACAGTACAGAAATGAGTTTACATAGTAATTTATCTGGCCGTAAAACACGACAGATATGGATTTTCATACAACTTTTGCTGGCCGCTGCCCGCATGTATCTGGCCAGTACGGCAATTTTGATTTATCTCGTAGAAGATTGTCAAAATGATGCTCACATTTCCAAGCATGTTTGAGAAAAATATATTGGAATATTCACCTTTAATCATACATTTGACATCATAATGCTGATGCAAGTAGTTTGGGTCTACTGCAGGAGGTACTGTCGTGCTGGCGTCCGTCACGCTCACTGTACCTCTGCTTCTTGGCTGCACACACGTGGCTAAGAACATGAAGCCTTCTTTTCTCGTGTCATTGTGGAATGGAAATGTATCTCGAAATACCTGTGAAAAAGTTTACAATGCTATCATAATCGGCAGTTCCATCGAAGATAATATAGGCTTGAGTTGAGTCAAGTCAACTTAGAACGGCAAACAAGCTGACGGCCCACCTGATGGAAAGTGATAACTGTCGCCTATAGACATGAACAGTACCATGGACATAACAGAGTATACTGTTTCGTCCATGATACCCCCATGCGTTGCCATTCCTGAGGACTCAAGTGTTATTCCTCTGTACCCTGTAAATTCACGCCATATCCTACCCTTCAAACTGAAACACAGTCATTTTATTTTATTTATTTAACATTTTATTACTTAAATATTACAGAATTTTAAAGAGTTTTCTATTGAAACCCCTTCAAAATTGTGATACTACGCTATGATTATTGTAAATTAAAAGGCGGTTTTATTAATAAGCAATCTCTTCCAGACAACCTTTGGATAGAAGCAATTGAAGAATGAATCGGTAGGTTATTTACTTTACGTTTATGTTTACTTTACGTTAATTAATTTATGTAAATAATTAGACTGTTCAAATTTAATAAGTTATATTTTTAGACATTATTGTAGCAGAAAAAATAAGAATTTGTTTATAAATAAATATTTTTTTTTTTATGATGTGTCTACCTTATGTTTATAGTTAGACAGATCCCTCAACAACTTCTCACTGGCCGTTCCCATTGAAAATAACATCAGAGCTGATGCGTTCTGGTACTCCACACCGGCTACTGGTGGAAAGGACAAAATACCTGCAGAAATATATTTAAAAATACATTAAAATAATTTTAAGGCTATGTACCATTACATTATAACTTGATATCTATATTAAAAGTTGCAGAAAATGGCCGGGGTTCAGGGCTATACTGAGAGAAATTGTGGCGTACAATGCGGGCAGAATCTAAGAAAAGCTTTCTGCATCTTTCGGAAGTGAGCCGATTGGAATCTTAACCGTCTGAGATGTTGTTCCAGACTGGTTGGGATAAGACCGTTCACCGACAAAACGATGGAATGATTTCATGGACGTCACCCTTTTTATCATTTCTATCCATCGTGAGCCAAGTTCGAGATTTTTTTCTTTTTCTCGGTTTCAGCTTTCACGAGGTTCTCGTCATGCGGTATGGTGACATCCATTAAAAACACCCTCGAGAGTGCCCGATCCATCACCACGATATCAGGTTTGTTCGCGAGAACTGTCCTGTCCGTGATGATGAATCGGTCCCAGTAAAGCCCAACGCTGTCACTTTCAAGGACCGGCTGGGGCTCGTACTTATAGTACGGCTACCTCTCATTCGCGGCTGAACTTCTAAGCTAGCTCTTGATGGATTATTACACCATACCTGGTTGTGTCTGTTAAGTACTCAGTGTTGGTATATAGCTGAACAACCCGAAAGCACATGTCTGAGTGACTCTCCGGGATGGCGACATGCCCGACAGATGTCCTCAATGCCATCCTTCAGAATGTGCTTTCGGTAATTCGGTTATTATTTATTATTATTATTTCATTTTTATTCCTTCCACATACTGAGAGTTTTGCCCGTAGTAGACACGCTCGGCAGGCGGGTTGGCAACCGTAGTTAGGCTTTTAGAGATGTTTTAAGAGCAACGCTGCTGCCCATCCCTCGCCCTTTTAATATTTTACTTAAATACATTTCAATAATTTTAAGTCCATGTACATTTTCATTATAACCTAATATTTACAGAATAATATGTACAGAAGTCGTAAAATATAAACCGTGCTCACTATACTGACAAAATTTGTGTAATGTGGGACAATGAGCGGGTAGAAGAAAAAGCTTCTGCCTCGGAAACGAGACTAGATAGGGCTACATCAGTCTACTCTTGACCAAGTCCAATGTAACCTAATCGAATCAGCGTCATCATATCAGGCTTTAACTGTCCACTGCTGAACATAAACCTCCCCCTTGGGGGGTTTTGCCAGTAGTTGCCTCGCTTGTCAGGTGGATTGGCAACCGCAGTTAGACTTTAGAGATGTATCAAGAGAGACGCTGCTACACATCCCTCGCCGTCCATTAATCGCCTCTTACGACACCCACGGGATAGGAAGGCGCGGCCCATTCTATACCGGGACCACATGGTAAAATTATCGTGTTAATTCCCGTCTCTTTTAAATCGTAAAACATGCAGCGCGAAAATCTGAAAGTTTAGTTGTTTGTTATTCTCTAGCTAGTTAAAAAAATACCTCGTTTATTCCAGAAATAGTTCCAAATAGTGTTGAAAGAGAACACTTTTGATAATGTTGTGCTGATGGGCTTCTTGATGCTTACATAGACAGGCATGTTCATGTGATCGTGCAAATTTCTACCGACGCGTTCGTTCTCTGCGACTAGTTTTATTCTTAACCTGTAAATTAAAAGGTAAACGAGGTCTAATAGTCTTATTGCTAGCAATGTTACTATTAGGTCGACCTCTACGTGCTTCTCTCTGGAAATCGTCATAGTTACTTCTCATGTAATTCTTCACGATGGGCTAATTGACCTGCTTTCATCCTCACCTATCATCCTTTTTTTTAATGGGTGATAATGGGATGGTAACACCATCACCTCATCTATCATCTCGTACTGGTGCCCCGTATATCGATTGCGCAGGCGGGGTTACCATTTCAATATCACCCATTAAAAGAAAAACCTGTAAATTAATGTTAACTTAAAAGACTGGATTCACTTGTTAAAAATGTCTATAATACGTCATTGAAAAATAGCAGACTTAAAAGTCTGCTATTTTTGTAGTAGTAGTTTTGTAATAGTTGTTTAAACACATTCTTGAAGACCAGCCCGGGTCCCTGTATTTCCAAATTAAAAGTAGAAAAATTGGAACTCCTTGAAAGTTTTTCAGAACTTTGAATTTTCTCTAAGAAACAAGATCTGGAATGAGGAAATGCAACGGAGAACTAAGGATTAAAAAATTCATATAAAGTGCAATAAGTCTGGCATTTATGTCGAGTCAGTGGTAGTAGGTGGGGAATGAAGCTCTTAGAATGGAGACTGCGTACAGAACGACGTAGCGTAATGCGCTCTCCTTCTAGATGGACTGATGATATTTAGGTGACAGCCAAAAGAAGATGAAAGCCAAAAGCAGAGGATCGCTTACAATGGGAGATATTAGGGAAGGCTAGGATGAAGAAGGATCTAGCTGTGGATAGATATCAAAGACAGTAACATATCTCTACCTGTGGATCGTATCACTAGGACCAATTCCAGATAACATCAACAGCTGTGGGGTTTTAATAGCACCACCTGATAATATCACTTCTTTATTGATAAAAATATTGTTTAGGTGTCTATGGTTCTGTAAAATGTAAACAGAAGACGCCGTTCTATTTTCAAAACGGATCTGCAATTAAAAATGTATTTCTTTTTATCTAAATAAAACAGGTCAAATGCAAGTTAGACTTACAAAAAGAGAGTTCCGTATACAAAATCATTATCACATCAACCATTGTCTTATCTTCGTATATGGGGTCAGCTAAGACGTTGCACGTCGACCCATCGGGATCTTTTGTGCTTTCCCCTGCCTTGTACCATTATTTCATGGAGCCTGTATGTTACCTTATCGATATCCCGCGTTTTAACCCTTCTTTGCATAATGGCGGAAATTTCTATCATAACATTGATGCCCAAAAATTATATAAAAGACCAAGTTCACTTTAAGTTAATCGTATCAGGATACCTTTTTAATGTCCATTGCAAAAAACAAAACATAGCTGTCAAATTAATTTTTTTAACCATTTTTCCTTTAATTTCGAACATGAACTATATCACCTTTATTTATTTCACCAATAAAAAAAAACCATGCAAAGAACGGTTAAGATATCTGTAGTCCCCTGGCTCTGGATAAGCCGTTCCCAGTAGACTCATACGCATACTTGCCAACGAATCGCAGTTGCACATCATGTGTTCCATGAATTTCGATGTCTCACCGCACAGTCTACACAGTGTGTCCGAAGATAGACCCATTTTGTATAGTATATGCTGTACTGGCATATGTCCAGTTAGGGCACCCATAAAGAGTCTTGCCTATTGTCTGCCACCGTTGCAGATGAGTTTATCCCATCCCTCAGCATTATCGTTTTATCATTAGTCATTAACTGTCCACTGCTGGGTTTTGCCAGTAGTTGCCACGCTTGGCAGGCGAGTTGGCAACCGCAGCTAAGCTTTGGTGATGTTTTAAGAGAGAGACTGCTGCTCATCTCTCGATCATTAAATTCCTTTAATTGCCTCTTATAACAGATACGGGAAAGGAAGAGCTGGCCCATATCGTCATAGTCGTAGAATACTGACGAATCTGACGAATATTACATATATAGATCCGTCAGTATTCTACGACTATGACGATATTAAGCCGGGACCACACGGCAAGCCAAAAAATTTTCTTAAACTCACGGAAACTGCTTGAGTATTTATCATGACGTGTAAATTGTTTCTATTCAATGCGGGTTTCAAATAAGCATCGTATGCTAAGTGGCGAACCCCGTCCTTGACTGTAGCGGTCGCCTTCCGGAATATGGTGTACTTGTTTTTTAATTCCATGGCGGCGTCTCGAAACGTCTTCATCAGTTCAGTGTGATCATCTATAAGCTTCAGTTTTATCGGTGCCTGGAATGATGGTGATGATGATGATGATGGGACAATTTTAAATATGCCCTTACCTGCATATAAACACGTCGAAATGCTGAATCTTATAAACTACAGCTTTTTGACGATTTTTCAAATACCTCTTTGTTTACTACTACCGTTTTTGCCATAAATTCTCAATATCAGCATATTTGACTTAATAGATAATTTTTTTTATATCACTGAGGTGGCAAACAAGTATACGGCCCACCTGATAGTAAGCGGTTATCGTAGCCTATGAACGCCTGCAATACCAGAGGTATTAAGCGCCCGTTGCCGACCCTGAAGAAACCTCTTTACTCCCCTTTTGAGGAACCCCATGCTGTAGTCTCTTGGGAATACCTCGGCAGGGATAAATATATACTCATAACTCGTCAAAATGAAAGGTGATCAAATTTTAGAGCGTAAAAAAATAATTTGCATTTCTTTGCTTTGCCATAGACTCGTCACTAATTCATTATATAGTTAGGTAGGGCTAAACGGTATATAGTTATTAACAGATAAAAATGGAATGGTAACTACGCATGCGCTATCCGTTTACGCTGCCGGGGCACCAGTGACTTACGGTAGATGAAGGTGAGTTGAGTTCTTTGGAAACTACCTTGCTTAATTTCTAGTGTCTTAGTCACGTTGGTTTCCAAAGAGGACCGCGTGGAAGTCGACCTGATAGGCTAAATTTCTAGTCATTAAACTGGCAATACCTATCCCAATAGGTAAGGTAAGGTACAATCACTATTTTGTAAAATATTTAAACATACCTCATTTCCTGGGCATACGCCATCGAGAGAACAATGTTCAGAATCGAACTCACTCCTCACTGTTCCAAATGCTTTTATGAAGTACGGCTTCAAATCTTCCAAAGTCCAACCCTTGAAGCCCAGCCGAGACCACCGGTCATAGTCTTCTGGTAGACCAAAACCGTGGAGTAGGAAGTTTATTTGTCCGGAACCACCCAAGCCCTTTCCACGAGGGATTATTTGGGACTATAAAATGCAGAGAATTAATATAAATAAGTGGATAGGAACTACATCCATTCATGGTGTTCTGGGTTTTTTTTAATTTATTTTTAAATAGGTGATAATGGCATTGTAATCCCGCCTGCACTATTGGGATACGCTGGCAGAGTACCAGTGAGAGACGATAGGTGAAGATGAAAAGACAGGTCAGTTAGCCCATCGTGACAAATTCCACCAGAATTAACCACGATGGTTTCCAGGGGGAGCCAGGGGGTCTATTCTATGCCGGGACCACACCGCAGAGAGTCACACATATATGAATGGTATGAATGAAATAAGGCAGTTTTAGTTACCACTAAAACAAATTTTTCCAAGGGAACCTTTTTTAGAGGTATCGGTAACTTTATATGCAGCTCTTTACCTGTCTCCAAAGACCGAAAGACGAATATTTTTGTGGTACAGTCCGCACGGACCAGTCATTGGGTCCTTGCTGCGCAGCAGTTGGCGTGAGAGGTATTTGAGTGAAATAGCTCATATGGTCACCAGCTTCTAACAGTAGAACTGTCACTGTGGGGTCTTCGGAGAGACGAGACGCGAGCACGCATCCTGCAGTGCCGGCGCCAACTGTGAATTTTGTGAAATAATATCTCTGAATATTAGGTACAGCTTCATCTAGCCCGAACTTATTTATTTATTTAATAGCTTATTGCATTCCATAATATAATTAGTAGATAGCATTTCGATTATGGACCCTGTTGGGCACAGCGAGTACGAGAGAGGAGGACAACACTTCTTTCACTTTAGAAATAGTCTGAGGATCTGTTACAATATTATCCAGTTAAATTAATTTGTGAGTATATTTTTTTATAGGTAAAAATGGATTCCGCTTGTGCCATCATTATACGCTAGCGGGAAACCAGTGAGTGATGATAGATGAGGATGAAAGCAAGCATGGAGGTAGACCTGATGGGGTATATTGCTAACAATGAGGTTCTCAGACCGCATTATTACCAATCCCTTTCCCGTTCACAACAGTTAGATTCTACAACGGATAGAAATGGAAAAGGAAGGGGATGGTTAATGATGGAGACCATTATGGATAATACTTGACGAATTCCTCTCGAATGAACAAGTTAGATGGATCATCTGACTTAATTTCAACCTCATCTAATTTTATATTCCTTTTTATATTAATACCCGCCCATTATGTACTTTTTATTACAACACATTTGTGATTTGTTAATCTTTGTCGGGTGCCCACGATACAAGTTCGCCTAGTGTGGGGCCCATTGTATCTTGTTTTTGTAACTTTGTGTTTTTAGTCAAATAAAATAAAATAAAATAATCTATTAACACTCACTGGTACTTGCATCTATACCGATAATGCCAGCGGGGTTAACCTTTTGCACTCGAGCGGCGCCGATATGGCGCCCGGCCGATTCGAAGTGGCAACTCGAGCGACGTTGCTGAGGCGCCCGAGTGTTTTAAAACTTTAAATCGAACTACGTTGCTACGACGCTATGGTCTTTTGTAACTGAATCTCCTTATTTACAATATGCGATAAGATAATTTTTTCGGAAGTACTTTCGTGGACTAGGCTCTGCTTACATTGCTAGTGAAAAAGGCCTCGAGTGCAAAGTGTTAACATTCTATTATTATCCATTAAAAAAAAATATTCGCAAAAAATTACTTAGGTACACTCTTAACTTATTCAATAATGGAAAAGGTATAAGATCACATCATATAAAACTGTACTGTTTCCTTTTCCAACTTGACCTTCCTTCTCTTCCCCGTGGCTGTCGTAGGAGGCGACTAAGAGAACTCAATGGTGGAGGAATGGGCAGCAGCGTCATTCTTCAAACATACCTTAAAACCTAATAGTGGTTGCCACCCAATCAAGCGTGGTAACTACTGGCTAAACCGCCATTATGGGTTAGACTTATGTCCAGCAGTAGACAGCTAAAGGCTGATATGATATGATGACTCAACTTGCAATAGCATATAATCAAATAGTTATTTATAATCTTAAGGTATTAAGTTCATAAATATCATAAATGTAAACATTTCATACACAATTATATGTCCAAAGCCCTAATAAACGCCTTATAACTTTATTAGAGAAGATATACTTATCGAATTATAATTATGATTGCAGAACCTAATTTCACAGGCGTTATAATATTAAAATATTACTTACCAATAATATAATCGTATCTTTTCTGTGGTTTCACTATTACACTGGTGTATATATTTATGTACTTTTGATACACAATATAAGATAGAACGGCAATAAACACACCAAAAATATAAGAATACAAAGCCATAATAATAAAACTTATGTTCAGTGTATTGTAATTTTTATATAAACTGTAATAAATTAAGTAAAACAATAATAACGTTGAAATAAAATAGTTTTCCTGACGTGGCTTCGTTTAGTAAAGTTTGCACTTACGACTTAGTGAGTAATTCAATTAAGCTGGGGTGTATAACCTTTCCTTCCTACTGTTAGACGAAAGAATACCTATATATGTATATTGCAATGAAACAAATTCCTAATATTTCTACACTAGCCGGGAGGGGGGAGGGGAAGGGATTGTTAGTAATAAGGCTACTCCCCATTGGTATCAATTTACCCTATCAGGTCGACCTCCACGCAGTTTCCCCTAGAAACCATCGTGATTGATTTACCGTTGAATTCGTCACGATTGACTAATTGACCTGCCTTTTCATCGTCACCTATCATTTATCACTGGTGCCTCGCCAGTGTATAACGATGGCGCAGGCGGGGTTACTATTTCGTTATCACCCATTAAAAAAAAATCTAGACTGCCAATTTGTATTAATCTTAAGCACGTACTTTTACTTTGCTATATTCCTTCTACAAAACATACAGGGCCAGCCTTAGTCTGTCTGATAGCCTTGAATATTATTTTAATGTTACTCATATTGTTTAGAATCAAGCCAATATTACACTATATTCCTTATTAATATTATAAATGTGAAAGTGAGTTTGTTTTTCCACGAAAGTGGCAAACAAGTGTACAGTCCGTTCCATGGTAAACGGTCACTGTAATCTTTGGACGCTTGCAATGCATATATAGCGCATTAGCGGTTTAACCTTTATAAAATTTATTAATTAATTTAAATTATTATAAAATATATATATATATATATATATATATATATATATATATATATATATATATATATATATATATATATATGTACTACATTGGATGGAGAAGATACTGGCTACATTTCCCGAGTGCTCAGGAATGGCAACGCATGGGGGGTATCATGGGTGAAACAGTATACTCTGTTATGTCCATGGTACTGCTTATGTTTATAGGCGACGGTTACCACTTTCCATCAGGTGGGCCGTCAGCTTGTTTAACATTCTAAGTTGTATAAAAAAAAACCATTTTATTTCGATTAGCTAACATTTTCTGGTCACGCAGCCAAAGTTGCGGGTAATAGTTTTGAAAGTCGACGTCAGTGTAAAACAATTTCACACACAACACTGTACCGTACAACAAAATGTTTACCACCCCTGACGACTTAAGAGGATTAAGTTTCAATCTAGAACAGTCCAATCGATATTTCCATTATTAATATACACAATGTATACATCGCTGTAGTAGAATGTGTAGGGATGCTAAACGTCGCTACATATATAACTCCTTGAATGGTCGCAGTCTTGATCAAATGTGGAAATTCTTAAAGTCACTCGGGATTGGTAAGGCTAATGATGAATCCTCTATTTCGTTTAATCTTAATGATATTAATAACCATTTCTGTAAATTACCCACACATCTTGACGATAATGTCAAACTTACTACTTTAGATCAATTATCAAAAATGCCCAGGCCTGAGTGCGAATCCTTCTCTTTCAGCTTGATTACAGAGTGTGATGTTAAGAGGCACCTCCTTACCATTTCTTCCAAAGCGACGGGTGCTGACGGAGTAGGCACACAAATGTTGCACCCTATTATGGATGAACTTGTATCAATTATTACACATACGAGGTCTGTCCGGAAAGTTCGTATAAAAGTGTTCTGGAATGCGAGAAAGAGGAGTGGGGAGGCCAGGTAAGCGCAGGACCCCTTCCTTATGTCCCTAACAATGCTTCAGTTCTGGTCTGACCGCCGTGCGGTGCGAACTGGCTTGTCACGCCATCTGTGAAGTTACCTCTTAACGAAACCCCGTCGGCATGGAGCCCGCTTCCGTTGAAGAGCAGCGCGTCGTAATCAAGTTTCTCTCGAAACTCGGCAAGAATGGCCGTGAAAGCAAAGAGTGGAAGACATCCGGGGAACCACGAACAAAAAAATCAAGAAAATCCCGCTCAAATGTCAAGACAATGTTGATTGTTTTTTTCGATGTTCGGGGGATTGTCCATCAAGAATTCGTCCCTCCAGGCCAGACAGTTGATGGAAAATTCTACGTCGATGTGCTCAGACGCCTCAAAGCTCGTGTGGCACGAGTTCGTCCAGAATTGGCGCGAGAGGGGCGTTGGATTCTTCACCACGACAATGCCCCTGCCCACACCTCTCTTGTTGTCCGTGAGTTTTTGAGTAAAAATTCCATTACGGTGACCGAACACCCCCCCCTATTCGCCGGATTTGGCCCCGTGTGACTTCTTCTTGTTCCCAAAAACCAAATTGGTACTTCGGGGGCGGCATTTGGGGGACATAAATGAGATAAAAAAAGCTACGACGGGGCAGCTGAGAAACCTACAACCAGAGGACTTTCAAGGAGCCTTCTCACAGTGGAAACGGCGTTGGCACAAGTGCATTATGTCACAGGGGGAGTACTTTGAAGGGGATAAAATTGATTTACCTGAATAATTGTAAAATAAAATTTTTAAAAAACTTTTATACGTACTTTCCGGACAAACCTCGTATAATAAATTTTTCTCTTGATACATGTTCTTTTCCAGAACTTTGGAAGAAAGCCTACATTATTCCTGTCCCTAAAACATCTAATCCATCTACTCTAACTAATTTTAGACCTATCTCGATTCTACCCGCTTTGTCAAAGTTATTAGAGCAAATAGTTCATAAACAATTGTCCGTTTATCTGTCTAGTAATAATCTGCTAAGTCCTTTGCAATCTGGTTTCCGCCCTGGTCACAGTACAGTCAGTGCTCTTGTCAAAGTCACTGACGACATACGCCGGGCTATGGACAACCACTCCCTCACACTCCTTGTTCTCCTAGACTTTAGCAGTGCCTTTAACTCTGTAGATTATGATATTCTTTTAAATATCCTTTCATCCCTTAACATATCTCCACCTGTAATCAATTGGTTTAACTCTTATCTTCGGGGTCGACTGCAGTGTGTTCGCCATGGTGAGGATACCTCAGATTGGTGTGCGGTTACTGCAGGAGTCCCTCAAGGCGGCGTATTATCTCCTCTTCTTTTCTCTGCATTTATCAATGCTATAACTCATGTAATTTTTTCTTCCTACCATCTCTACGCAGACGATTTGCAATTATATTTTCATTTTAATCCTTGCGACATATCTGAAGCAATTGATGATATGAATTTTCAGCTGCTTAAAATATCGGAATGGGGTAGATCCTTTGGGCTTCTAGTTAACCCGCGAAAATCCCAAGCTCTCATTATAGGTAGTCATCGTAATTATAAAATGCTTGATCATGATGCTTTGCCTCCTGTTTACTATGAAAATGAGTTAATTGCATATGCTAAGAAAGCAAAAAACCTAGGTGTTATAATTGATTGCAATTTATCCTGGAATGAACACATTAATGGGGTCAGCAAAAAGCTATGTTTTTCATTTCATTCTTTTAAACGATTGCAAAAATTCTTACCATTTAAGACAAGGCTTACTTTGGCACAAGCTCTACTGTTATCTCTTCTTGATTATGCCGACATATCCTACCTTGATGCAAATGAAGAGCTTTTAAACAAATTAGAGAGATTACAGAATTTGTGTATACGTTTCATATATGGTCTGCGTAAATATGATCATGTCTCCGCTTATAGAACAAAATTGAATTGGCTGCCAATTCGAAGGCGTCGAGACTTTCATATAATGTCGTTTTTATATTCCGTTCTATATAACCCTACTTTTCCCTCCTATCTTCGTGAACGTTTTGATTTTCTAGTTCCCCATGACGTGTCCTCCCGTTCGACGAAATCTCTTATCCTCAAACTCCCTTCACACTCATCTACGCGCTATAGTGGATCTTTTACCGTCCATGCTGCTAGATTGTGGAATTCTCTTCCCATATCTATCCGTGAGAGTCAATCCCTAAATATTTTTAAGAGTAGACTTAAAGAGCATCTTCTATCTCTATGAACATATATTTATTTATCTATATGTGTAGGTATATTGTATGTATATGTGTATGTATATGTAGGTTTATGCATAGATGTAGGTATATATTTATGTATATGTATGTGTGTATTTGTACTATATAATATAATCTAATTAATTTAATTTTGGCTATTTAAAAATTGTACACTGCTGTATCCGCTGACATTGATGCTCCTTTCCACTTTGGGTTTGCTGGAAGAAAACTCTATCAGAGTTAAGCTCGCCTTTGTACTTTTGTTTACCTCTGTCATATTTTTATAACTAATGTGTACAATAAAGTATTAAATAAATAAATGTATACATTTATACAGCCTAGGTATACATTTAATTGAATTTTAAGAAGTACAGTAGCTACATTTTGTCCAGACTGTTCAAGTTTGCTGCGAGGTGCCTAACCTCTGCCCCATTCTTGTTTCTACCGGGAAGCAGTTGTTTGCATGGCTGTGTTTCGGTTTGAAGGGTGGGTTAAGGCAGTGAATTAACAGGGTACAGAGGAATGACACCTGAGTTCTCAAGAATGGCAACGTATGGGGTATCATGGGCGAAACAGTATACTCTGTTATGTCCGTGGTACTGCTTATGTGTATAGGCGACAGTTACCACTTTCCATCAGGTGGGCCGTCAGCTCGTTTGCCATTCTAAGTTGCATAAAAAAACTCTACCTCCTTTATGAGGGACGAAAGAGATTGTTAGCAATGAGTTCATTCACGTATTTTCATCCTCATCGATCACCCTTCACTGGTGCTCCGCCAGCGTATCCCGTCAGCGCAGGCGGGGTTACTATTCCATTTTCATCCAATAAAAAAAAAGCACGTGGGATTACTTAGGACTTTGCAATATTCAATAATATAGATTAAGCATCAATAAATTTAAAACTGTAAAGGAAACATGTTCCAAATTTCAATTTTCTAGATTTAGTAGTTTTAAGCGTTAATAAAAAACTAACGAACGAGTAAGTCCTAAAAAGAGTAAACGAGAAGAGAACATTGATTGAAATAATAAAGAATAGAAGAGGCAAAATGCTGGGCCATCTTATACGATATGACGATTTTTTTTAAGAGCATAATAGAAGGAAAGATAGAGGGCAAAAGAGGAAGAGGAAGACCGAGGATTAACTACATGGGACAGATAAAGGAAACACTAGGCGTCATGTCGTATAGGGAGATAAAGGATTGGCCTGGGATAGAGCTGGCTGGAGGAAGATGCATGAATTAGTTGCACCGACAAGAGGAAACTCTTAAATGAAAAGAAGAAGCGTTTAGTTAGGTTATTGCATACTTATAATGCATGACCCAGTGTGCACTTGGTAACAGTAGTGATTTTTGTGTATTGTAGTATAACGTAATAAGTAGTTAAAAATTAGATAAATATACCTATGCAAGTTCCGTGGTAATATTTTTTTTTAATGGATGATAATGGAATGGTAACCCCACCCGCGCACAACGGCCCAAATGAGAGGCTAAGTGCGGAAAACAGAGTCTTTCTCACATTCACCCCACCCGCGCTATCGGTATACACCGGCGGGGCACCAGTGAGGGATGAAGTAGGTCAGTTAGCCCATCGTGACGAATTCAACAAGAATTGTTCATGATGGTTTCCAGGGGGAAACATGTGGAGGTCGACCTAATAAAGTATATTGCTAGCAATGGGGCTGTCAAACTCCATTACTAACAATCCCATTCCCCCCACCGTGGTAATATTTGCATGCCATTTGATGTGGCGAAACATAATGGGCATCTTGTAAACTTGACAAGTGCAACATATTATCTACAATGTTTCTGGCAAATAAATTTCATTCCAGGACAAAACTATTTCATAAGTATAGTTAAATAATGCCATAAGTAATTTCATGATATTTTTATATTATAAAGTAATAACTTTATAAATATCATCAACACAATCTGGACGTTATGATTTTCAACAAATAAATATGACAGAGAAATAAGAACTTTCACGTTTAGTTTTTGAAGCTTATAATTCAACATCTCCACCATCTTCGATCATTTCTCCGACAGCTGGCACCATGACGGGTGCCTCTATGATCTGTTTACGACCCTTGGAGTCTACAACTTCTATGGTCTCGGGTTCAACTTCCATCGTGTTATCCTCTTCCGCCTGTCGTTGCTTGAGACCGGCTGCTGGAGATCTGTAAGTGAAAGATTTCCAGAATTAGTTTCATAAAAATAACTTTCTCATCAATTTAATTATAATATCTGCCCTATGAAAATGAATCATCATCTTCCTACCCTTATCCCAATCATTTGTGGTCGGCGTAATATGATTTTATCCATATTACAAAAAGATTTGGTTTTTTAGTTTTACGACTGGCCACCTGCCTGACGTCAACCCTCTTTGGGAATGCATATATACGCAATATATATATATATATATATATATATATATATATATATATATATATATATATATATATATATAATATATATATATATATATATATATATATATATATTATTATATTTACGCTGATAATTTAGAAGGTGATATGGTTTGTTTGGATGGTTTAAATGTAGTATTTCATTATTTTCCTACAAATTCTTATGGATATTGCAAGCATTAAATAGCATAAATGACCTGAAGAATGGTTTTCTATTATCAACCTTAATGCTGGTGTGCATACACCAAATTCTCTGATTCTAATGTATTTTATAATTTTACCTTATTTATAAGTAATATTCATTTTTATATATATATATATATATATATGTATGTATGTATGTATGTATATATATATATATATATATGTATATATATATATATATATATATATATATATATATATATATATATATATATATATATATATATATATATATATATATATATATATATATATATATATATATATATATATATATATATATATATATAGAAATGAGGTTCAACAGGCTTATTTAGGTTCCATGGTTTTCTGCATACCAAAATGGGAGACAGGTACAGGTCCTTACAGGTATGTACAACTTATGATGATGAGAGAGATTTTTACTTTACTTGACCACTAAATGTGAGGGGTTTTCTTTGAAATGAGGTCAACTGGCGCACTGGCTCATACGCTAAATTCGAAAGACCATACAATAAATATCCACTAAGCTCCATGATATATAAACGAACGAGAAGGTAAAAATATAAACATAATATTTATAAGCGGCGAGAGGTACTCAGGACAGCGCAAATCAGAACACATTTGATGCGTGAGAGGGTTTCATTCTAAATGCTTAAGTAGTTAACTTTATTTTGCGGAAGTCCACATCACTGGTTACTTGATTAAAATTATGTCGTTTAATTGAAAATTTATATTAATTTGATTAATTTACTCAATGACAGTCAAAGATTGATGGTTAATATGGAAAGTTGTAGAACTTCTGGTAATAATAATAGCAGTTAAGCTTTGAGTATTGACAGTCACACACAAACTAACTGTAGCAGAATTAAACAAAATAATTTTAATCAGCTAACCTGTTTATTTGTTACCTCTTACAGCTTTAACCATTATGACATTTATTATAAAGATAGAGTATTCGGGACTAAGGACATGAATATTTCATTTTACCCAGATGAAGTTGTGAGTAAAAAGTAATATTAAAAGTATTTTAATTTAGAATGTGAATTCATGTGTCTACAAGATTTTGTTTTTTTCTTTTTTCATCTTTCTGAACAGCTTCATACAGTCTAAAAGTTTCTTAAAGGTTTTATTTGACCATGATGTATATAAACTCCATTAGTTCTGTCCTAGACTTTTTGAAGAAATGATCAAAATTTGGTATATACACCAAGTATGCAGACTGTACAGAATTTTATTTAGAGTTACCTTTCTTACTTTATTCACTTAGTTGCCTCTTATGTAAATAAATAAATATGACAAATTGTAAACTATTTGTAAATTATTGTAAATTGTAATAGGTATGGCATCAATAAAGTATTTGACATTAAAAAAATACAGTACCTTATAAGTGATATATCTCTTTGAACTTCACGTACATCCCTCTGCCACTCCACTTCGCGCCCCTTCCTTAATCTTTGCATTATATAGTTATTCGATCTCCTTTGTCTTATTTCTTCCACCTTTTTCATAGCTTCAATGGTCTTGTTCCATAGTTCTCGACTGTATTTCACAGGTATGTGACGGCGTTTTTCGAATTCAAACGATGGGTCAATAGCAAGTTCCTTCCCAGCTGTTTTGCGGTAGGCTTTAGTCCATTTAGTTTTACGCGGGTTCTTCTTCTTTTTAAACGCTGCGTGGCATTTTGAACGGCAAAATCTGAAAATCTGCGGGCAGTAATTTTTTGCATTTAGTAATATTGTGAAATATGAATGGTGTTGTGGTTATTTGGGGAACTAAATTGTTACCTTGCAGTCATTTCTAACAAATTGAATTCCGTGACCGGGATATATCCTGGACGAGCAGAAATAACAAGTTTCAATACGCATTTTTTATTATTTTCTACACGTGCATGTTTTGATAGTTTGACAGAGGATTGGAAAAGGAATTATTTTTTTTTTTTTTTTTAATTTATTCATGACCATGGATACAAGTCCTTCAGTCGCAGACATAAATGATATTTACAAAAAAAAGGAATGTAGAACAAATTACTATATAAACGCAATTAACAATATTGATAACATAAAAAATTCTTAGACTTTATCTACAGTATTAGTAATGAAGTTAAAAACAGACGTAAAATAAGCTTCGTTGGATAATAAATCTTGAACGCGGCGGGGAACGCATTGTGAATGTTCCTTCGCAATGTCACTAATATCACTAACAAGTATCAGCCGTTGAATGTTGAAATTTTGACAGTCAAATATAATGTGTTTTATGTCTGCATTGTCTTGAAAACAGTATTTACACTTATTGTCACTAATAATATTGAGTCTGTTGAGGTGAACTGGAACTAAGCAATGCCCGAAACGAAAACGATTGATGATCGTAATAAACTTCCTGCCGCAGTATTTAAATTTGCTATACCAAGGTTTAATTGGTAAGTCTCTCTGTAACTCCGCATACCATTTACCTTTAGTTTCAGTTGTTATATCCCAATGGTCTTTCCATATTTTTGCTAAATTACTTTTAAGTAGTCGGTAATAATCTGTGAACGGAACTTTCAACATTTCCGAGTGATCCTCATCGTGTTCTCGACTAGCTGCTCGATCCACAATTTCATTCCCTAGTATGCCACTGTGCGAGGGTACCCACACAAATTCTATGTTTTTACTCTGACTCAATGTTCGCAACAGATCTTTAATTTCATAAAGTAAATAATTTTGCTTATATGAGTAATTACAATTACATAAAGATTCCAATACACTCTTGGAATCAGAAACTATTAATATATTTACATTATTTACAAAGTTATTTACAAATATTAAAGCACTTAGAATAGCATAACTTTCAGCTGTAAAGATACTACAATTTTTATCTAATTTAATACATTTTGTGAGTTTCTTTTGTGGATCATAATATGCTGCCCTAACACTGTTTGCACTTTTAGAACCATCAGTATAGATTACATAGAAATGTGATTTCTTATTCAAAAATTCAAGAAAATCAAATTTGTTATGTACTAAGTCTATATAACATTTAATATCTAGATAGTTAAGCAATGAATTGTAAGGACATTTGTACATTGGCCATTTAGCATTTACATAAATATGATTTGCTGTATTTTTAACATTTAACATTATGATTGGAATTTCAGGCAAGGGGTTAGAAACAATGCTGGAAGCTGAGATATTGGAGGATACAACAGAAGAAAATTCTACTGGATATATAATATTATTAAGGACCATATTTTTATTGAAAGACAATTCCTTCAAACAGAAACGTTGAGCCAAATGTAAACGTCGGAGGGATAATGGAGGTATGCAATTTTCAATCTCCATAGAATTAATAGGAGTGGAGCGCATGGCTCCACAAATTATTCTTAAACTCATATTCTGTATCACATCGAGTCTCCTCAACAATGTGGTGCTAGCATTCATATAAGCCAAACTACTATAATCAAAATGACTCCTAACAATACTTTTATATAGCAAATTTAGAGTTTTAGGGTCAGAACCCCAAAAAGTTCCAGCCAGACATCTCAAAACATTTACACTTTTCATTGCATTTTGGGAGATATAGTTAATGTGTTTATCAAATTTTAATTTGTCATCTAATATTACACCTAAAAATTTATGATGATTAACAATTGGGATTACTTTATTGTTATATAAAACTTTCACTCTGGATAATACAGATGGATCTCTCTCTCTACTAAATACCAAAACTGAGCTTTTCTCTGAACTGATTTCTAATTTTAAAAAATTGCTATAGTAATTATGAAGCTGAAATAATGCAGAATTAATGTTGTTAATGGCCATATTTAAATTTTGATCTTCACTATATAAAAGCAGGTCATCAGCAAACTGAAGAATATTAACTTTTGAATTATCCACATAGTTGAGGATCTCCGATGTGTACAAACTATACAATAAAGGAGACAATGTGGCCCCTTGCATAGTCCCTTTGTTAACATTTTTTGGTCCATGTAAAATGTTATTATATTTAACAAAAACAGTTCTATTATTTAAAAAACTAAAAAGCCACTTTAATGTTTTACTTGGCAAACCCAAGTTATGCAACACATGAATTAAACATTCTATATTCACATTGTCAAAAGCACCTTTAACATCTAAGAATACACATACTACATTAGAGTGACTTAATTTTGCTTTTTTTAACACAGATATTAATGATACAAAGCTTTCAGAACAACTTCTGCCCTTTCTGAATCCAAACTGTATATTTGGCAACTTATCTTGTGATTCAGCATAGTAGTCCAAACGAAATTTTAACATGTTTTCAAAGAGTTTACCTAAACATGAAGATAAGGAGATAGGTCTATATGATGATGCACAATTTACAGGTTTATTGGGTTTTAGAATAGGGATAACACACTGGGTTTTCCAAGATTCTGGTATAATTGAATATTCCCAAAGTTTATTATATATATCTAATAATATTTTCTTTGCATTAGGATGTAATTGTTTAATTAAAAAATATGTTATACCATCCAACCCTGGAGCTGTATCTTTCCGACTTTTTAGTGAAATGTGGAACTCATGTAATGTAAAGGGTTTATTAATAAATGAGTTACTAGCATTTTCTTCAGACAGATTCAAAATATCTGTTATATCATTTTGTAAATGTGATGATGCTGCCAATGAGTCTAAAAACTCTGGTATCCATTCATCATTTGGGTTTCTATTTGAAGTATTATCTAATCTTTTAAACCTTTTGATGTAACTCCATATTCTAGAAATAGGTGTTGTTCTATTGAAACTGGTGCACAACTGATGCCATGACTCTGTGCGTTGTTCCCTTAGAATTCTTTTCTTTTTAGCATCAACTTTTTTGTAATTTATGAAATTAGAAATTGATGGAGAATTTCTGTACTGTCTCAGGGCTTCTTTAGACTTTTGAACAGCATCATCACAAATGTCATTCCACCAAGGAGCTGGTTTTCTCAAAAATTGGAAAGATTGTTTTAACTTTTGTTTAGGAACTGTCTTATCTCTTATATTATATAAAATATATACAAAATCATTATATAACTGTAAAGGTTCAGTACTGTTATAAATGTCTAAGTGAGAAAAACTAATTTCAGATAAACTGTAATACTTAGACCAATCTGCTTTATTATATAAATATTTGTCTTCCACAGGTCTAACTTCATATATTGATGGCTTCACATTTACACGTACCTGAGTCGGATAATGATAACTGCCCATCGTGTCATCATGGACTTTCCACTCACAAAGAGGAGACATTGAAGGACTAACTAAAGCTAAATCTATTGCTGATGCTTGCCTGTTTGAGACTGGAATAGTAGTCGGACTACCATCATTCAACACATATAAATTGAATTCATCTATAAGACTGAACATAATATTACCTCTACTATTGTTTGTGTTACAACCAAACAAAATATGATGTGCGTTGAAATCACCCATAATGAGACATGGTTTAGGAGTATCCAGAAGTACTTTTTTAATTTTATTGGTGTGAAACTTTCCACTAGGGGGACAATATACACACAGAATATGTAATTTACCGATAGATGTTTCTATTGAGATGCATAAATTTTGAACAGCTTCAAAGAAAGTAGTATTAATAATATTATATTTAAAATTTTTCTTAATTAATATACCAATTCCGTTGTGTGGATTTGTAGAATTTTTGAAAATAAAATTATATGATGCAAACCTAGGAATTTTACTATTACTTTTAAACCATGTCTCATTAAGTAAGCATATATCAATATTTTGTTCAGTAAGATATTTTTGTAACAGAACTTTTTTACTCTGTAAGCTTTGTATGTTAAATTGTGCTATGTTTATATATGTATCCATAAAACTAAGTTAAATTAGACAATAATATTTCTTTAATTTTCTTATGAGTTATTGACATTTTCTCATTGTTGTTCCCAAGAGCAACAAGAGATTTAACGAGAGCATTAATTATAATATCATTATTTACAATTTCATCTTTATTTAATTCGGATTTATTTACATTTGAATTTAACTGAGAGCTATATACATTACTGGATTTTTCCAGATTTGGAAAATTTTTTGACTCTGAAACATTTGAAGGTATACTCACAACAGTGGCATAACTAAGATTGAGATACTTGTTCCTCTTCTCTTCCATTTTCTTCCTTTTAATGGGACAATTCCTAGAAATAGCTAGATGATTGCCACCACAATTAATACACATTATCGTGTCAACATCACATTCTTTATACGAGTGCTGACCAGCACACGATGAGCACATCTGTACGGCTCGGCAAACTTTGGCTGAATGGTTAAATTTTAGACATTTGAAACATTGAACTAATGGTGGAATGTAAGTATGCACAGGATATCTGAACAACTGAATGTAGACATACTGTGGCAATGTTGTTGCTGCAAATGTGACAGCAACTGTACCTAAAGGTGTAAGGATCCCATCTACTTTTCTCATAAAACGTTTAATAGAAATTACTTCTGCGTCACAGCTAATATTTTTATATATATCTTCATTGGACATATCTGTCGGTACATATCGAATAACGCCGGTTTTTTCTGATAAATATGCGGGTACAAAAGCTCGAAATTTATTTTTATTCAAAAAATGGTCCATTTTAAGAAAATTATTTGCTGGTGCCGGTTTCCTGAACGTGATGCCAATTTTATAGGCGTTCACTCGATGAACTCCTACGATACCCTTTACATTTTCTGTGAATAGTTTAGTCAAAGTCTTAGGATTTTTATTCCCTAATTTTTCGTCTTCCGTTGATTCTACATATACTACACAATCAACACTGTGATTTTCTGGGAACTGTCTCTTGTAATTTGGTTTGGTGTACATTTTATAATTATCAGAAAGTCCTGAATCATTAAATGCTAATTTACGTTTCTTTGCCTGACCTTTTCTTTTCCTTCCAATGTCGACGGGGTCTCCCCCGTCGCTACTTACACTCATTTTCTTTGCTATATATTACAAACTGTCTACAAAAGTACTTAATATACAAATATACAAAATATTTAAAAATAAAATTGAAAATAAAAAATGAGAAAATTTAAATCGCCCGCTCAGTTCAACTTCCCGCCAAAAAAGTCTTCGGAAAAGGAATTATGGTAGCCGGTGTTGCCTACTATTAAATATCATTTATCCTGGGTATATGTTTTTATGTCAAAAAAGTTGTAAAAATTATTATATATGTTTTTTATATTTTAATACTTTCATTCATGGTGCTTATTTCATTTTGTTGATGGCGCTCTTCATAACGATGCTAAAAACAAAGTCGTCATTTCTTACTGAGATGAGATGAGGAGGTAAATAAATTTAGAACACAAAATATATAAACATGATTATCGATCATGGATTTTAAATTATTTTTAAAGTATGTGATTCATTTAAATGTCGTAATTTTTTATTTTTCCTAAGTTAAGAGTAAGATTTTTTCGTTGGAAACCCTAAAACTGCTCGCTTCGGTGTTATCATTTATTAAAAAATTGTGTAATGATACCATAAATTCAAAACTTTATAAATGATATATAATAAATAATTTAATAAGTACCGTTTTATATATAAAGATCTAATAAATAATAAATTAATTTATTTCAAAAATATTTTATAAGAGATTTAATAAGTTTCTTTACGTTAAATAATTTAGTTCAGTGTTAGCGACATCTATTGATCCATTTAAACTCTTGGTTTTCTAATTGAATGCTACTCAGCACTAGATGGCACTGAGAGTAATATTTATAACAAAATTGCAATTAAAATGTAGTATTATTATTTTATATTATCTACTTGATTAAATTTCTCTTTAATGACTTCTGTACAGACTTTAGCCCTAAGAACGTGCTTTAGCGTGTTTTAACCATAGACGTAGTATAATTAAAGATTTCGGAGTATAACGTACTATGTACTGACAGACTGGCAACACAATCACTAAAAACAAGAAATCTCTGTGCAATCACAAAAACGAGACAAGCAAGTGATTACGCTAGTATACGTGTTTTGTAAATGCTTACACGTGACAGATATAAATTTGTATGGAATTGAAGTTGGAATAATAGCGAAAATTTAAGTAATCACATAATTACTATTCACATAAATTTTAATTACGATTCGGGGATGTTTAGAACTTTATTTAGATTGAATAGACATTCTTTCTAACAATTCTTCTATAAAATATTTCTAATTATTCTAGAATATTTTTTAAACATATAAATATTTACTAATCTCTCTAACATATATGTTATAATATTTCTTTTCTTTTACATTATCAATCTATATACTTTATAATCTAAGGATTCTATTAATTTTAGACATAGATTAGGGATAGTACCTGCGCTGTTGGATCTGTCCAGTTATTCCTTAATCTATACACATGTCTGCATGTGTGTCTATATGTATGAGAGAGCAGGACTTAATCATCAATCTAGGTGTATATTTCTGTGGCACAAATTAAGTATCCAGTAATCATTACGTTATTTAAGAGTCGGCACTGTGATTATATTAACTTAACTGAAAAATGATTCTATGCAACTACGTAGGAGTATTTTTTTAATGGGTGATCCCGAAATAGTAATCTTGCCTGCGTTAATGATATACACTGGCAGGACACCAGTGAGGGATGACAGGTGAAAATGAAAAGTCGGGTCTGTTAGCTCATCGTGATCAATACACCTGGGATGCAACACGATGGTTTCCAGGGCGTACCACGAGGAGGTCGACCTGACTGGGTATATTGCTAGTAACGGGATTGGTAGTTTGGATTACTAATAATCCATTTCCCCCACCTCATCGCTTAGGAGTATTAGCACAATAAAATATATTAACTTTTTGTGTCTATTCAACATATACCGTGTTGAAGTATAGTTTATTGTGAACTTTATATAGCAACCCTAACTTTGTTTATGGTATTATAAAATAAAAAAAAAAAAAACTTCTTGTGTGTCAATGACAGAACTGAAAAAGGTTGTTTTTTATTTCTCTTCTCCATCGTTAATAATCCATTTAGTTGACTTGTAATAACATATTTATTTGACGTGTAATAACAATAATAATCATAACAGGTTATGGCCCAGCCTGATTTTCCATTTATATGGTATTGTAATTATTCGTACAAAACTAGAACAATTTCCACAAGTCACAGCCGCCATTTTTTTTTCCGGTTGAAAGTTTTTTGTTCAGAACTTCTTGAGGTACTTGTCAATAATGTCTGTGCGATTAGATAAAATCACAGTGGACAAGTTGGAGGGTGAAGGTAATTGGATTTCATGGAAATTCGATATCAACTTACAAATAACCCTACATGGAGTTGAGGACCATGTGACCGGTGTAGCGCAACAACCAAAAGATGGAGAAGAACCAAAGTCTTTCAAATTATACCATGAAAAGGAATCAATTGCAAGGTATTTAATAGGTTCAACAGTAGGCAGAGAGCCGAAACAGCACATTTTAACCTGCAAAAGTTGGGATACTCTTCATGCTGTGTATGAACAGAAAAATGAAAGAAGACTGGATCTTTTGTACTGCGAGCTATTTACGTATAAAAAGTTACCAGAGGACAGTATAGCTACGCATGTCTCTAAGTTACAAAGACTGTATACTCAATTAAACTTAGAATTGAAAAATGAAGGCAGTACTTTGCCTCAGTCCTTACTTTTAAACAGAATACTGAATACATTGCCTGTTAACTATCTTGAGTTCAAAAATGCTGGGAATCTGTCCCTGCATCGGATAGAAATGTAACCACATTAATGGAACGTCTTCGCTTACATGAGCAAAGATTGAATGAAAGCAAACCTGAAAGTGAAGTCGCTCTAGTTGCAAAGACTGAAAAGCGTATATATAATAAAGGTCCAGTTTGTAATTATTGTAAAAGAAAAGGACATATCAAAAAACATTGTTTTAAATGTAAAAATAAACAAAAATCTGATTCTACAAATGGACATGCTTTTGTTGCACATAGTACCGTGATAACTAAAGAGGACAGAAAGATAGTTTTATCTAGAGATGTTAAATTCCTACCAGAACAAGTATGTGTTGATATTTTTAAACAGGATTTAACAGAGCAGCAGTCTAAACATCAGAAGGAATCTTCGAAAAATCATGATTTTGTGATATCCTTAATTCCTGATGCTGATGAAGTCAACAGCAGCAAAGTTCAGAAAGTGACAAGAGGACATGCATCATCGTCTATGGCCCCAAGGGCTGTCACCGCTGATCCAGCTCAAGCATGTGACCAGGTTCCAAGTTCAGGTAAAGATTTTATACATAATTCATGTGATAGTGATCCTGTGTTCTTAGACTGTGATAATTTATCAGAAAGTGAAAGTGAGTCAGTGATAAATGTGGATCCATTGTGTAGTGGTAACAGTAATGGAAATGTCGAAAGTGAAAATCAACGATATCCATTGCGTAATAGAAAGATAAAGGAGTTTCCAGACTATCATGTGTATATGTGCATGGAATCTGATGATGAATGTTTACATTTTGATGATTTTGATAATTTACCAGCTTGTTGGAAAGATGCTATTAATGCTGAACTTTCATCATTGGATATTAATAATACTTGGTCTATTGTAGATTTACCAAAGGGTGTAACCCCTATAGATAGCAAATGGGTATTTAAAATAAAGAAAGACAGTGACAACAATATTGTCAAATATAAGGCTAGGTTAGTTGCACGTGGGTATAATCAAAGATTTGGTATTGATTATCATGATACATATTCACCAGTTGTTCGTTCTAGTGCACTTAGAATTCTTTTTTTCTTTGGCAATTCAGTTTGATTGGTTTATAGACCATTGGGATGTTGTTACTGCTTTTCTTCATGGAACATTAAATGAAGATGTTTTTATGTATATGCCAAAGGGCTTGTTAATTGATAAAGGTAAAAATGATAATGTGCCTAAGGTATGCAAACTAAACAAAGCTATGTATGGACTGAAGCGCCTCAAGTTGGAATAAAGAGTTGCATAAT